CAAATTAGTAGCTTCCAGATGGGGCTAGAGATTGAGAAGCTCAAGGAGCAGATTGACAATGTCTTTGATACCCTGGCTGTAGCTGCTCCCTCAAAGGTAGCCCTGCTAATGCATGATGGGATCCTCAAACTGGTCTAAGTATTACATAAGAACAGCCATAAAGGGACAGAGCAAAAAAGGTCCATCTAGCCCAGTATCCTGTATGCTGACGATGGTCAATACCAGATGTCCCAGAGGGAGGGAACACAACAGGTAATCCTCACATGATTCCTATCCTGTCACCTATTTCCAAACAGAGGCTAGGGACATTGTGGCAGACACTTTCTTATCTGGTTCCCACATCCAAGTGGGCAGAGAAAAAGTTCTTTGCCCAGCCCAATGGCATATCTGTAGATTTACCATCCCCCTTGGTTGTTGCAGACAGGGGCAGTTTAGCATGACCCCAAACAACAAGGATACAAATAAAACCTGGACCTTTTTTGGAAAAAGGTGTATTCTATTGCTAGCTTGCAGTTACACATTGCAAACAAGCAAATGTTGCTAAGACAGGATGATTTTAACACATGGAATTATTTGTTCAAGTTCGTCAAGGCTGTTCCCCACTTTGGCACTTCAAGTGCAGAAGATGAGGGAGGCCTTAAAAATACTTTGCCTCCAGAGGCTTCTGTTTTTAAAAACTCCATAAGGTCACAGATTCCCTGACCTTGGGAGGTATGCTGCTTCCACCTACCTGGAAAAAAACTTTTTTTCGTGAACTCAGAAACAAATCACCTGAGAACTTCTTCTAGAGGAGTATCCCAAGCTCTTTTAACACAAGAGAATTTTAAAAAAAGAACAAACTGCAGTCTCTGATAGCTCACCTCTCAGTCTTAGGCATGCATACACAGACTTCCTATTACCTTCCAGGACACAAGAATCAGATCATAGTCTTTAAAAAAGGTGATTTTTATTAACAAAACAGAAAGATATACTTAGTAAAGCATACTTGGTTGCTAGGTGTTATAAAGCAACTAAGAAAAAACATTAGCGTACAGAAAATTGCTTCTCTGGGATTTAGTTTCAGTTACAATATATGGGGGGGCACGTGGACTCAGCACAGAGTTTAACCAAACAACAAACAAGCAAACAAAGTAACCTGACCGCGTCTAACTAAAACATTCCCTATCTACTCACATATGTGTACTTCCAAGGTCCAGTCCAATTCTAGACTTGAGTATTCCTTTTCTAGGCATGGTATTCTTGCCTGGTTCAATTAATCTTTTCCCCCCCAACTCCTGGTTTGAACTCCCACAAAAGAAAAAAATCAGGCAGATTTCCTTTCAGTTCAAATCTCAACACTTTAGTCCCATTGATTTTCCTGGCTCCCTGCCAACACTTCATAGCTACCTAGGTTTAACCCTTTAGTTATTGAATGCTGGAATGTTTCTAAAAGGACAGCACCCCTCCTATCTATCCCAAAATTCTTGGACTCCCTCCCCCAGGCTTGAGGCAAGAATTCTCTGCTGTAATTGAGGAGGGTAGAGCAGTGGCCAGGACTACTCTGCATCAGACACTGCAGTGCAAGGACCTTAGAGCTTCAAAGTTGCTCCAGACAACTGAAAATCCAGCACCAATTGGCTTGCTGGGCATCTGGGAAACATTACAAGGAAGGACATGAGCTCCATAGCAATGCTCCCTCTAATCTTTTCCTTCCATATGTGGATTTTTTCCATCCATGTGCAGAATGAATTTTTATGTGCACTAAAGCATGTGCAAATGTGCACCATCAATAGAAACGAAAAACGTAGTTGTTGGTACTCTGCTAATCAGCTGGGCAGCATTTGAATCTCTTCTGAAAGGCCACACAGATACATAGCTTACTGGGAACACTGGTTCCTAGAGTCATTATGGGAGGAAAGTGTATGAGTCTCACCTGAGTAAAACTTGCAAGTAGGTTTCTTGTTATTCACAAGCTTTTCCTTTCTATATATATAGATCCATATAGCTGTGCTAATTGGTTCCCAACTTGCAGGCCACTTGTGACCGAGTCAGCACTGAACTGCAGCCCATGTGACATGTACTATTGGAGGTTGCCCACATAACACCACTTCTGTGGCCCACAGTAGTAAATAGGTTGAGAACCACTACTTTATTCTGTATTCTAAAGAGCTCCATTTACTACAATGTAGTCTAGTTTTCCTTTGCTTTTCAGTCTGGATCCGTATGATTCTATGATTTGCTGTGAACGTTTTGTTTAGATCTTACTGACCCTTGCAGTCTTGCACTGAAAAGGAAAGAGCTATGAATTCCACTCTTTCTTTGATTTGTTCCCCACTTTAAGGAGGCACTCAAGGAATTTGAAGTTTGTTTTGCTGTTTTAAGATGAAAATGTCATCTGTTTATATTTTTCCAGGTGTTAAAGGCAGAGAAAGAAAAGCAGGAACTGCAGTACCAGGAGCAGCTGTCTGAGCAGATGGAAAAACAGTCCAGGGAGGTGCAGGACCTAGGTTAGGACTCATGCAAATATGTGCAAACAGAATGAAAGGAATTGCATTGAACTCATGGCAAATGATGAAGTGGGGATGGAAAGTCCATTAAAAATGTGCAGCACATGAGCAAAAATGATGCAAAAACTGAAAGAAAGTAGGGTATCAATGTAATTATCTAGAATTGTTTTGATTGATTTGTATTGTGATAACACCAAAAATGTAGTCTCCAGAGAAGTGGGGCAATAAGAAATGACAGGCAGCTGAGGAAGGCCAGGGGGACATCTAGATAATGGACTGGAAGAGCAGAGAAGTCCTACAGAAATGGAAGAGAGAAATCTGTGTAAATGGGTGTCAGAAAAAGGGATGAATTCAAAGAAGCACTGGAGAAAGGCACAATGAAAGTCAAGGCAGTGACATTTTGCAGTATTATACGTTGGCAGAGGAAGGAGGCCATTCTTGACTGGCCCGTGGTGCTTATACTTTGTCTCTCTATAAGGATATGTCTGTGCAATACTAGTACACCCACACTTTGGCAAGATCCCAGATCTCAGGCTCCATCCTTAGCCCAAACAGCTTCACCACAGTTTTACGGCCCAGGGGCCAAGTCCCTTACGCCTGAATCAACTGACTTGGACCAGCCATAGGCATTGTATTGGTGTGCACTACTCATACAGCTCCGGTGAACATCATCTCAGGTGTAACTTCATTGCTGTTGAAGTATTGTATCAAGTAGATTGGAGAACCTGCCTGTTGCGTATACTTCATTCACTCTGTCTGGGCCCATGCACAGAATAACAAACTAGTCAGATACACTGAAGCAGCATTCAGGGTGCAACATAAGCTGTGTTCTCAAGTGCTAACAGCATGTTGGAACAAAGTAAGGCAGTTCCAGTCCAAAAGAGCTCATATTGTAGGATAGTCACAGAGAAACAAATCCAGGGTATGTCTACAAAGCAAAGTTATTTCGAAATAACTTTCCTAGCATCTACACAGCCAAAACGCTTATTTCGAATTTGGTAAACCACTTTTCACGAGGAATAACGCCAAATTCAAAATAGCTATTTTGAAATAAGTGCTGTGTAGACACTTATTTTGAAATAGGGGGCCTCCAGCCTTCCCAGAGTGCCCTGGTGGCCACTCTAGCCTCAACCAAGAACACTCCTCTCCCTCCTCCCCTCTTCGGACCCCTTAAACGGGTTGACTCTGGCCACAGTGCCTGTGCCAGCTCCAAGCCTGCCAGCGCAGAGCCAGCAGTCACTGCCCCTGACCCAGTGGCCCCAAAACATGAGCCAGTAAGCCACTGGCAGCCAGCCCTCCACCGCTCCCCAGGAGCAGTCTGCCAGCTCCCAGGAGCCTGCTAGGGCCCGGAGAAGGCGGGCACCTTCCTGGTCCAAGGAGAAGTTCATGGACCTTATTCAGGTTTGGGGGGGATGCCCCCAACGTCCATGATCTCTGCACTAGACAGAGGAACGCAGCCGTCTATAGCAGGATAGCTACCAGCCTGGCCACCAAAGGCCACATGCAAACCCAGGAGCAGGTTCGCATGAAAATCAAGTTGGTCCAGTGAGACCCCTAACTCTGAGCCCTGAGCTTCCCCTCCCCCTTCTTCCCCTTGCTTCCTCCTTCCAGTTCCCTCCTCCCAGGTTTCCCCCTCCCCTCTCCCACCCTCTCTTCTCTCCTCTCCCGCCTCCTTTCCCCAGTCTCATCAGAGTTTCATTCCCTCCCTCCCCCCAGTTTTGTTAAATAAAGAGAGTTTGTGTTCATGAAAATAAGTGTATTTTATTTGACATCAGGAAGGGGGGTTAGGGAGGAGTAAGTGGAAGGACATGAGGGAGGAATGAGGCACAAGCCCTTAGTGGGACACACCAGGGAGGCTCTTAGTGCTCCTCAGGGTGGAAGCTCTCCCACAGGGCCTTCTGGATACTGACAGCTTCCCGATTGACCTTCTGGATGGCAGCCTGCAGAAAGTGCAGCCAGGCTCACAGCAACGCATCCAAGAGAAGCACCAGAGTGCCCAGGGGCAGCTCTGGCTCCATGTTGCAGAGTGCTGTGGTGTCCTGAGTGAGGGCAACCAGACCATGCAGAGACAAAAAGCTTTGCTGTCCCTCATTGAGGTAGGCAAGCAAGCAGAGAAACCTGAGAACTGGCTGTCCCTGGAGGGGGAGGAGGGGGTTGTCCCTTTAAGCACATGCCTCAGATCGCCTCAGGCAGTAGCGACACACAGTAACTCCTGACTTGATGCCCTGATAGACCTGGTAGACCACTCAGTGTGGACACGCTATTTCAAAATCGCAAAACACTATTTCAAAATGCATTTTGCGTGTAGACGCGTTATTTTGAAATAACTTATTTCAAATTAACTATTTCGAAATAAGATATTTCAAAATAACGCTGTAGTGTAGACATATCCCCAGAGAATGACTTTTGTGTTTTTCATGTTAACTTGTTTCTTGTGAGCACTGTGAGAAAAGAACATCTTTAGGACGGACTTCAAATAAGGATGAGGAAATGGCTCAGTGAGCAATGATGCAGAGGCCATTCTGTGCATAGGGATCAGCATGTAAGAAGGCACAAAGGTTCATGTGGCAAAAAATGAATGGAGACACTGAGGCTGTCATTTTATAGTGAAGTAGTGGGGGCAAGGCACATGAGAGGAGAAAACTTGGAGATATCCAAGTCAGATATGTGGATGGCTATAAAGACAATTACAATAATTTTAAATCTGATACAGTGGGTATTGAGTAGCCAGAAGAGGCATTGTTATGGAAAGCAAATGTCAGAAATGGCTTTTGGGGTGTCAAAAATAGGGGTGGTAAATGGAGACAGGTAGGACATATCTTCCTGCCATTAGCTCTGCCATTTCCATCTTGTTCCCAGAATCTGTCAACAACCAGAAACTTTTGTTGGAATATGAAAAATACCAGGAGCTTCAAGTGAAATCCCAACGGATGCAGGAGGAATATGAGAAGCAACTACACGATATGGAGGAAACAAAGAACCAGGCCCTAGAAGAGCTGACAGAATATTATGAGGCAAAATTGCATGAGAAAACCACTTTGCTGGAGGAGGTATGAACTTCACACGTTTTGGGCTGCTGACTTTTCTAATTACCTTTTCTAATTACCTATTTCTAATTATAGTGACACGTTTTCCAAAGTGACAGGAGGTGTGCTTTCTGCACATAGGGCCCAGTCCCTGATTGCAGGGAAATGAGTATTCAGGAAGCAGAGGCTTTCTGATTGCCTTTCTGAGTTAGTTGGGGCATATACCTTCAGCAAGCACCATTCTAAGGCAGTTACTGACCCAATGTTTTTCTTCCTGCTGCTCCATCTGTTTGGGAGGATGTGCCTTAAGATCTGTCAGATTCCCTCCTATTTATAGTGTAGGGATAAAATAGAAAATAGCTCACTGATATGTAGGTAATATTCTGAACCATGGGCTCTGGTTAAGCTTTTCCACATAGGCTCACGTTGCCCAGCTTGGGCATAAGCGACGAGGAGTCCTGTGGCACCTTATAGACTAACTGATGTATTGGAGCATAAGCTTTCATGGGCAAAGATGCATCTGACGAAGTGGGCCTTTGCCCACGAAAGCTTAGGCTCCAATACATCTGTTAGTCTATAAGGTGCCACAGGACTCCTCGTTGCTTTTGCAGATCCCAGACTAACACAGCTACCCCTCTGGTAGCTTGGGCATAGGCATGAGTCCTAGCTAACGCAGACAACGGGCCCTAGATATAATACAGAAAAACAACCCCCGCCTGTGTATTACAAATGGAAGAAGCCGAAGTAGCATAACACTAGGCAGTTAGTCATAATTAAACACCCTTATCGTGAGTTTCACACACACATGCAAGACCAAGGCCCTGAAAGAGGCCTCACAGTTAGCCTCATAGTCTGCCATCCTACTGAGAAAGAAACAACAGCTGCCTTCCCAAGGCCAGCCACAGATTCAGGGAAAGACCTAACATGCCCTAACAATTCAAGCTTGCAGGCAAACCAGAGTAAACAGTTGCTTTGCTGTACCTCCCACTGTCTTTTTGCTTTATACTCCTAGAAAAGCACCTATGAACTGCACCCCACACCTGTCAGGAAAGCACCATCATCACTCCTATGGATCCCAATTGGAATGTAGCTTATTCATTGCAAGGCAGTTTTCAGGGGAGGGGAGCAATACTTTTTTTTAGCCAATATGTTAATCTGAGCTATGGGCAGAGGTACTATGTAATCTCTAGACTATTGCAAGGGTGGCTGACCCATTTAACAAAGAGAACCAAAACAGTGGCGGAAAAAATGGGAAGAGAATTGTCAAGAATTGCCAAGCCAAAAAAAAAAGAGAAAAGCCTCCCAGAACAGAATTGTCGAGCAAAAAAAAAAAAAATAGGCTGCCCCTTTAAGACGGCCACCATCTTGGGTGCCATTTTTAAAACCCCGCAGCTCTGACCCGGTAAGCACAGGGAAGCCAGAGACATGGGGTGAGCTGGCAGGGGACAGAGGCCGTTGGGAGGAGTGCAGGAGCAGTTTTGCAAGCTGCACTTTTGGGGGGCAAGAGCTGCATGCGGCTCATGAGCCGCGGGTTGGCCACGGCTGGACTATTGGCTTATTGTACTCATATGTCTTGCAGCCAGAATCTATCCAGGAGCTTGGGAACTCCCATCCCATCGCTTCTTTCCGCCCATTGGCTCCCTATATAATCAGTTGCTTAGCAATGTTCACTAAGCCCAAGTGGTAAGGAGATACTCCGCCAACTGTGCATAATAAACCCTCCTGCTTGAATCTACACGGTGTCTACATTTTGGTTTCCAACAATAGAATTGTAGAACTGGAAGGGACCTCGAGAAATCATATAGTCCATGCCCCTGCACTCATGGCAGGACAAAGTATTATCTAGGCCATTCCTGATAGGAGTTTGACTAACTTGCAGTTAGAAACCTCTAATGAGGTTGATTCTACAATCTCTGTAGGCAATTTAATCCTGTGCTTAAAATATTTCCTCATGTCCAATCTAAGTCGCCCTGGCTGTAATTTAAGACCATTGCTTCTTGTCCTATCCTTGGAGGTTAACAAGAATATTTTTTTTCTCCTTCATCCTTATAACAACATTTTAGGTACCTGAAAACAGTTATCATGTACTCGCTCCCTCAGTCTTCTGTTCTCCAGACTGAACAATCTTCTCTTAGGTTATGTCTACACTACAGTGTTATTTCAAAATATCTAATTTCGAAATAGTTAATTCAAAATAGCTTATTTTGAAATAACACGTCTATACACAAAATGCATTTCAAAATCGCATTTTTCTATTTCAAAATAGCGCATCCACACTGAGTGGACATTGAATCGAATTGAAGGCTAGTTGGAACCAGTTCCGGCAGGGCATCAGGTCAGAAGTTACCTTGTGGCCAGGGTGGCCAGCAGGGCACTCTGGGAAGGGCTGGAGGCCCCCTATTTTGAAATAATCGTCTACACAGCACTTATTTCGAAATAGCAATTTCGAAATTGGCACTATTCCTCGTGAAATGAGGTTTACCAATTTCGAAATAAGCCCTCCACTATTTCAAATTAATTTTGAAATAACAGAATGGCTTTGCAGACACTAGGAAAGTTATTTCGAAATAACTTCGCTGTGTAGACATACCCTTATAGGCCATGTTTTCTAGACCTTTAATCATTTTTGTTCTCTGGACTGTATCCAGTTTTATTCTTTCGCCTCTCCACCAAACAGTTTGACCTTTCCCTCAGTGCCAAGACTACCTGTTTTTCATGATTTTTGAGAAGTCCTAATTTCATTACTTGTCTTTGGATTTGTTCATTCTGGTTATAGGGAGAGTTACTCACCTACGCTGTGTCTAGACAACACCTCTCTGTCGACAGAGAGATGTAGATTAGGCACGTTGAAATTGCTAATGAAGCAGGGATTTAAATATCCCGCGCTTCATTAGTATAAACATAGCTGCCACTTTTTTTTGACACTGAGCTTTTTAAAAAAAAAAAAAAAAAAAAAAAACGGTAGCCTAGACGAGTATCTGTCAAAAAATAAACCCTTTTTCGACAGATCCTATAAACCTCATTTTTTGAGGAATATAGGTTCTGTCAAAAAAGGGTTTATGTTCTGACAGATCCCTCTCTAGACTGCAGGGTTTTTTCCGAAAAAGCTCCGTGTCGAAAAAAAGCGGTGGCCATGTTTATGCTAATGAAGCACAGGATATTTAAATCCCTGCTTCATTAGCAATTGCAACGTGCCTAATCTACATCTTTCTGTCGACAGAGAGGTGTAGTCCTAGAGTCTCCCTTTCTCAAGATACCCACCTTAGTAGATCCCCACACTTAGACCTGCGTATATGAGCTTGGCGAGAACTCTTGCACCAAGTTCTTGATCCCTAAATCCAGTAAGGAATGTCTGTCACTACAGTGCTGGAGTGCTAAGAGTCTGCCCTCAGTGCTCCAGCTGTCCCACCAGACTCTTTGTCCATCCTTTTTTGTCCCTCTGCCAGGACAGCCTTCCCTGCTCTTCCAGCTGGAACACAACTCTGCTATTCCCAATGGGAACTCTCCACAACCTTGCTGAGAGGTTGTCTTTTCTAGGGGAGCATCCCTTACTCACTCTGGCATTTTCTCTGTCCCCCTGGGTTCAGCACTCCAACATGCAGATATAAGTAGGTAAGCCCCTCTACTGTTCCCGTGTCTTCAGCCCTCTCTGACCTACAACTCAGGCTTTTAGGCACTACCTCCTGCTGCTCTTCTTGCCTTCCACTCCCTTGGGCTCTGGGTCTCTGGTTTGGGGAGGTCAGCCAGCAAACCCCACTTGCTGGTCTGGCCCATCAGCCTTCCCCCAGAAAACGTCTTTGGGTTCTGGCAGCTCTCGTCTGCCCTGATTGACTGAGTAGGCAGCTTTCACAAGTCTTCCTGACCGACTCTTGCAGTCCTGACTCACCGGATCTCTCTGCTCTCTCAGACTGTCCCTGATAGTGTAGATCCAGATACAGTACTTCCCTGCCCTCCTAACTGGTCAAACTGGGAACACTTCTTCTGGCACAGAGGAGCTGAACCTACTTCATTTACAGGGGCCCACCATCTGTGACAGTCTTAACATTTTTTAAAAGAAATGTATTAATCACCTTAGAAATGAAATTTGTTTAAATAATATTAATACAGTCAAAGCTCAGGGATAAGTAATTTACTCTTCTTCCCCATTGCCAATAGCTTCCACAGATTTAATGGACCCACTGCTACTATTCCCGTCAACTCTGAAGAGGAACTGAACTAAAATACAAAGTCTGATAGTTATGCTAGAGACCCATGCACTCCCACCGCTCTGTCTTCAGTTTTCTTTTCCTGATTCCAGGCACAGGATGATGCCAGGCAGCAGCTTCGAGAATTTGAAGAAACTAAGAAACAAATTGAAGAGGATGAAGATCGAGAAATCCAGGAAATCAAAATAAAGTATGAGAGGCGACTGCGGGAAGAGAGAGAATCCAACCTGCGGCTGAAAGGAGAGACAGGCATTATGAGGAAAAAGGTAACTACAATTTTCTAAGGGGACTGCATGTGGCACCTGGAATACTAAGGCTTTAGTTGAGTGTAGAATGTGTTCAGTGAGGGTACTAATCTATATCTAGACGTGTATGGCATTTTACTGTGTCATGAGATGGCAATTTCCCCCCTCTGTAATATAGCTTGGAAATCTTATAATATTAGTCACTATATTCTGGTGTAACAGAAATTAGGTTAAAGGCGGAAATTATAGATTTCTCCTGCCACAGGAGCAATGCAGAGCTTCCCCCTCCAGCATGGTTACTAAAATCTAGTACAATTAGGGGCACTACACAAATAATAAATCACAATACTCAGGGCTTGACAAACCCCGGCGAGAGCCACTCGCCAGCCCCGCGCTGCACATGCACCAGACTGGCACTGCACATGCGCGAAGCGCCAGTGAATGGGGCACTCGGAGCAACCGGCTGAAATCTTCTTGCCACAGGCAAGTAGATTCAGCGGTTTGTCGAGCCCTGACAATAATAGCTTAAATTCAAGAGATGGGACATTCTCATGCTTCTCAGGAGACATTGCCATAGTTTGATATATCTTACTGTCAGGAAAATATTCCTGGTATTCAGTAAAAATGTGTTCCATTTCATCCCAGTTCCCTTAATTTTCATCCCTTTGTAGTACCTTAAACAATTGCTCCAGTTCCTTGATGTTTATATGCCTCGGATATTCATAAAAGGTTATGCTTGTCATAATCATGACACTTAATAAACAATATTCAAGAAAATATGGCTGTATCAGAATGGCAAGCTATACAACTGTTACCAAAGTGTTAGGAAAATCCATACCCTCTCAAGGTATGTCTACACTGCAGAGCTATTTCAGGGTACCAGAAGCAGCCCGTTGAAGCAGCCTGTTATTTTGAAATAGATTTCAAAATAACAGGCAGCTTATTCCGACGTCCCAGTAACCCTTGTTACATGAGGGTTAAGGGGCATTTTGGAATAGCAAGCTATGTCAAAATTTGGGGGCACTCTATAGATAGCGCCAAATTACAAAATAAGCTATTTTGAAATACATTCGAAATAAGCTACATAAATTGCGTAGTGCAAATCGCATAGCTTATTTTGAGCTAAAGGTACTGTGTAGACACACCCTCAGATCTCTGTCATGAGCAGGAATAACTCAAGCAGGATAAGATTACATATTGTATTTGAGGTTTGATCCTTTACGGCCATGGAAGCCATCTCTGCCATCTTTCCTTTCTTCCAGGGTCATATAGTTTTTCCACATCACTCTCCAGTTATTGGTAGCATGAGGAAATAACTCTTATAATAACTCCTCACTTAACATTGTAGATATGTTCCTGAAAAATGTTACTTTAAGCAAAATGATGTAAAGCAAATCCAATTTGCCCATAAGAATTAATGGAAATGGGGAGGGGGATAGGTTTCAGGGAAATTTTTTTCAGCAGACAAAAGATAATATTTCTATATACAGTATGGCTGTGTCTACACTGGCAAGTTTTTCCGGAAAATCAGATGATTTTCTGGAAAAACTTGCCAGCTGTCTACACTGGCCGCTTGAATTTCCAGAAAAGCACTGACGATCTAATGTAAAATCATCAGTGTTTTTCCAGAAAAACTATACTACTCCCGTTCGGGCAAAAGTCTTTTTCTGAAAGACTTTTGCCTGAAAGGGCCAGTGTAGACAGCACAGTTCTGTTTTCCGCAAAAAAGCCCCGATCGCAAAAATGGCGTTCGGGGCTTTTTTGCAGAAAAGCGCGTCTAGATTGGCCACGGATGCTTTTCCGGAAAAAGTGGTTTTCCGGCAAAGCATCCTGCCCATCTAGACACGCTTTTCCGAAAATGCTTTTAATGGAAAACTTTTCCGTTAAAAGCATTTCCGGAAAATCATGCCAGTGTAGACATAACCTATAAGTTTTAAATAGTTGTTAGCAAACAGTTTAATACTGTACACAGCAAAGATGATTGTGAAGCTTGGTTGAAGTGATGGAATCAGAGTGAAATATTTCCCAGGGAATGTCTTACTACTGAATGATGAACTAGCACTTGGCTGAGCCCTCAAGGAGTGAACACATTGTTAGTATAGTCTCACACTCCAGAAGGCAGCATGAACTGAGGCAGAAGGAAGAAAACACAATAGACATACAGCAGTGGCTGCAAAAACTTCCCTGCAGTGATGGACACACATTACCCAATGGAACGCAGTACTGTCCTCCAGATGGCACATACACAATTACACAATGCCAACGGGTGTATGTGAGAGAGACTGACAGACACACACATGATGTGTGTTATGTGTGTGTGTATTTGAGAGAGAGCGACACATATTGCCCCTTGAAGTTTGCTGACCCCACTTAAAGTACACTTTTTAAGTGAACTAGATCAACAAGTTCAGACTCAGGCATCTGTAGCTGTGATATCCGGCATTGTAGAGATGGGATACAGAGTTGGGGGCTTGCTCAGAGGAAGAGGGACATCCTGATATCAGCATCCCTGTTTCCCCTTCCCCCCACCACTCACTAAGAAGGAGACTCATGGGAGCAACTCCAAGTAGGGTTGCCAGATGCTTTCACAAAAAATCCCAAGCATGGTAGGAAAAAAATTGGTTGAACAAAAGAAAAGGGGGGGGGGGGAGACACCAAAGTTATTGAGCAAAACAAAAAAGTTGCTGTATCTTTAAAAATCCCTGTGCCCCTCGCTCACTGCGCCCCCGCCAGACGTGGCAGAGAAAGAATGTCCCCACCGGTCTTCTGTCCAAGAAAAACAGAAAATACCGGACATTTTACATGTCCCATATTTTCTGGGTTTTTTTTACTCAACAGGGGCCATGAATACCGGACTGTCCAGGCAAAAACCAGACACCTGGCAACCCTAACTCCAAGGCAGAGGGAAGGATCAGCATGGCAATAGGGAAAGGGGCCCAGCCACATATCGTACAGGGAACTTAGGGGAACTGATGAGGGGCTGCCAGCCCACCCTGATTCCAAGTCCCTATGAGGATGAGCTGCTTTTCCAGAAAATTGTGCAAGTAGCAGACAAAGCAGGCAGCCAAATGATTAATGGGACATTGTTCAACTTTAAAAGAGCACATGCTCTGATAGACAAACAACATAACAATGAAACGAAGTTAACCGGGATGTTAAGTCAGGAGTTACTGTACTTGTATTTAGGACATTGAAGTAAATAGTGTCTCTGTCTCCATCTCTTCTGTCACATGACGTAAGAACAGCCATGCTGGGTCAGACCAAAGATCCACCTAGATTAGTATCCTAAGAGCTACCCAGAATGCACTACACAGTGCTCCAGCTGTGTTTTAAAGCTCCCTACACCTTTCCACCGCTGACCTCGGGCCTGATCATCACCCTTGTCAGGTGGTTAGTAATATATCCCTACTGCTATATGTTTATTATTAAAGATAGAATTACTATCCATAGAGATTCTATGGTAAAGTTTGATTCATTAATTTTAGTTCATGTGAGTCTATGCTTTCTTTCACAGGGAAGGGGCGGTGGCATGGGCTTCAGTGCAGACTGTATAAGCTCACCCAGAATCCTGTGTATGTGCTTGCATTTCAGCACATTCTGGGGTCTATGCCACTGTGTCCTCACTGTTGTTTTTAGCTACATTAGCTAAATCAGTGCTGTCTGTAACCTTGAAGTTGTCTTTTACTCCTCCCTCTGTCTCTTCTGTGTGTCCAAATCTTGCTGCCCTCTTATCCATAACATTCCTCACACTTAACCTTTACTGCCTGTTCATGCCACTAAAACTCTTATGCAGTCATCATCCCGTCTTGTTTCCTGCCATCTTCTCCTGTCTTAGCCTCCCTCTCGTCCACAGTGTTTCCTTCCAATCCATACAAAGTGCAACTACAGTATTGAGACCATGATCTTCCTTGCCTCTTGCTCCTGGCTCCTCTCTTCTCTGTTGTATCAACTCAAGGCTTCTTCTGACCTTCTGACATCTTGTTGCTCATCTTCCGCCTTTGCTTTCTTCCATGCTGCTTCATCACATGAAATGCCCTTCCTGAACTGATTACTCTCTCACCCTTCAGATCCTTTCTCATAGCTTGCTTCTGCAACATTGCCTATAAGAAATCAACCAAAGCAGGATGATTCGATTGAATGGCAGTTGGAGAACATTAGTATTTGTGTCTCTAGTTCAGTAGCCTACAGAAAGAGATTGAAGAGCGCAGCACTGACATTGAAACAATGAGGATGGAACAGCAGAAGCTGCAAGGCATCATTAAGTCGTTAGAGAAGGATATCCTGGGGCTGAAGAGGGAGATTCAAGAAAGAGATGAGACTATCCAAGACAAGGTGAGGCAAAACTTTGACAGTCTCAGTGGCTGATGTTTATTATCCTCCCATCACTCAGACATTGATATTGGTATTACCTTATTTGTATTGATGTAATTCTCAGAGACCCTAGTTCAGGGCTACTCAACATGTAGCTCGTGAGCCGCATGCGGCCCGCAGCTTGTTTGTTTGCGGCCCATGGTGCAGTTTGGCTTTATGTGGGGCTCAACACGCTCTGGACTGTCATTGCTCTTTAAAAGTGCTGTCATATGGGTGGAAATGGGTAAATATTGTATTTTATTAATATCAGAACTGACTTAAATGGGACCCGCATGTTGTGTAGTCTTGCCTTAATCTTTGTATTCATGCCCGTTGGTGTAAAAGAAGCTATTTGCATATATATTTGCACGTACAAGCAACCACACTTAAGTTGCGGTCCTTGACATATACTGTGAGTATCATTATGGCCCCTGGGTTTTCCAAAATTGAGTAGCCCTGCCCTAGTTAGTTCCTGGATCCCATTGTGCTAAGCTCTGAAGAAACCTGAACAAGGACGCAAGTCCTACCTTTGAAAAAAAGCTTACAACCTAGAGTTGAGGACTCTGGATATGTCTACAGAAAAGAAAAACTCATGGCTGGCCCTGTGCCACTCGGCTTGGGCTCACAGGGCTATGGGACTGTTTCATTGCTATTTTGACCTCTGGGCACAAGGTGGAGCCTGAGATTTGGGACCCATCGACCCCATGGGGTCATAGACCCTGGGCTCTAGTCCAAACCCAGAAGTTACACACCAATGAAACAGCCCCAAAAGCCAAGCCCCATGAGTTGGCTAGAACAGGCCAACCAAGAGTGTCTAGTTGCAGTGAAGAGATATTCTGTTTCTTCCCTTCCCCTCAGATCTTTCCTTGGGGAATCTATCTGTAGCTCAGGATTTCAAGCTACTTATACTTTCCTTAGCTTCTATAAATGATGTCTGTATTGTCAACCTCTCCCCCTTGTTCTTTGTGGCTCTCTGTGGGATTTGTAACTGAAGATTTCAGTCTCCATTTCCAGTTTCTCTGAGATCTGTGACTAAAGTGTCTTTCTGCCCTAACATCCACACATCACTCCAGGGATCTGTTTGAGAGGTCTGTGTCTGGTTTGCACAGGCCTTCTGCTTTGAGTCTTTGCAGAGACCACTGACTTGTATATTTGTTTGTATGTCTCAGGAGAAGCGGATTTATGACCTTAAAAAGAAAAACCAGGAGCTGGAAAAGTTCAAGTTTGTTCTGGACTATAAAATAAAGGAGCTGAAGAAGCAAATAGAACCCCGTGAGAATGATATCAAAGTAATGAAGGAGCAGATCCAGGAGGTAAGCAGCACAGTCTTCTGACCCCTGCCACCCGGCCCTCCATCTGTTAAAGTGATGATAGGCTAAATGTACAAGGAAACTATACCACATTTGTCCTTTGGTTTGGCCGTCTTTAAAGGAGTGTATCGACTCACTCTTCATCCAAACGTGACTTCTTTGTTACCAATGAAATGACTTCTGTATAGTGGCCGTCGCTTCCCCTTCATAACAATTCTCTGAGGAGACCTTCTTTTACATGGAAATTGCCACAAAAGAGCAGACCCAACTAGTGTGGAGTCCTGTTTCAAATAATGGTTAATGCCAAGCTCTTCATAGAAGGATGTAACTCATTTTCTTAAAAGACATCAAACTGTACATTATAGCCTAAGGGAATTCTTCATTCAACATGTTATGTGAATGAATGTCTGGCTTCCACTTATACCAGACTTAATCCCGTTATTTTCTTTCCAAACCTTCATGCTCACCATGGAAACTAGTCTCCAAACCTTAAATGTGGATGGTTTATTTATTTGTTAGGACTAAAATATTTAGGAAGTCACTTAAACCTTTGTAGCTTTTGGAGACTTTAGACGTATGTAGTTCTTCAAATGGCCTCTGCATATTTCCACATTTGGAATGCAGCAGAGTCATATAGCAGAGATGTTGCAATTTAATTCATTGTGCCTTTTGGAGCTCTCCAACATCCCCCCCGCATCTGTTCTTAAACATTCTAGGGATTTAGCTACAATGGAGAGCATGGCACTGCAGTCACCTCAGTTCCTTACAGTCACCAGCGTGACAGACTAGGAACAGCTCCAGAAAGAACTCAGGCCCCTTTTAGACAAAGTGCATCAACTATTCAATTAGCCAATTAATCAAAATTTTACATCCCTATCTGAAAGCAAAGAGGTCAGGCTTCAAACAGCATGCTTCATGCCCTGTGCTAGATCTGTCATCAAATTAACACATTTGATTCATGGCTTGTCTTGGAGAGTGACACTCTCTCTGTTCTAGATGGAGTGCTTTGATATCAAGAATGAGAAAGGAGAGGCAGAACAAATTGAAGGTCATTCTGCTGCAGGAAGCCTTTCTAGTGAAACCTATCAGAGCTGAAAAGTCAGGTGGTTCCAGAAAAAAATCTTAGATCTACTTCAGCATCAAATGCCTCGAAGTTAGGAACTAAATAATACAAGATGCTTACACTGGTGCAATCTAGCTAGCTAGAAACAATTTCAAAGAAACAGAAAAAGTATCCAGAACATTTATTTTATGGAATTAAGAATAAAAATTGCTCAGGGAATAGACATTTGTTAGCAGAGCTGCCCCACAACAGATCTTTCTGGATCCTATTATATTGGAACTGTGCAGACGAGTACAGGCAGTCCCCGGGTTACGTACAAGATAGGGACTATAGGTTTGTTCTTAAGTTGAATTTGTATGTAACTTGGAACTGGCTCCAGATTCAGCCGCTGCTGCTGAAACTGACCAGGGGCTGACTACAGGAAGCCCAAGGCAGAGTTGCTCTGCCCCCGTGATCAAATGCCTTTCTAAAGTCTAGGTATACCATATCCACTGCTTCTTCCTTATCCACAAGACTCATTATCCTATCAAAGAAAGCTATCAGATTGGTTTGACATGATTTGTTCTTTACAAATCCATGCTGGCTGTTCCCTATTACCTTACTACCTTCCAAGTGTTTGCAGATGATTTCCTTAATTGCCTGCTCCATTATCTTCTCTGGCACAGAAGTTAAATTAACTGGTCTGTAGTTTCCTGGGTTGTTCTTGTTTCCCTTTTTATAAATGGGCACTATATTTGCCCTCTTCCAGTCTTCTGGAATCTCTTCTGTCTCCCATGATTTTCCAAAGATGATAGCTAAAGCCCATATATCTCCTCTATCAGCTCCTTGAGTATTCTAGGATGCATTTCATCAGGCCCTGGTGATTTGCAAACATCTAACTTTTCTAGGTGATTTTTAACTTGTTCTTTTTTTATTTTATCTTCTAAACCTACCCCTTTCCCACTAGCATTCACTATGTTAGGCATTCCTTCAGACTTCTCAGTGAAGACCGAAACAAAGAAGTTATTAAGCATCTCTGCCATTTCCAAGTTTCTTGTTAATGTTTCTCCCTTCTCACTGAACAGTGGGCCTACCCTGTCCTTGGTCTTCCTCTTGCTTCTAATGTACAGGCAGTCCCCGGGTTACATGGATCCGACTTACATCAGATCCCTACTTACAAACGGGGTGAGACAACCCCGCACTAGCTGCTTTTCCCCCTAGCAGACCAGGGAGACGCGAAGCTAGCGCCCCACCCAGCAGACCAGGAAGACGCGGAGCGGCTTTTCTCAGCAGACACCTCAGCTTGAGAATAAAGGATTGAGGGAAGTGAGGTGTGAGAGAATAAAACTGAGCTCTGGAGAAATGTTTGGCTAGAGTTTCCCCTACGATATGTACCAGTTCCGACTTACATACAAATTCAACTTAAGAACAAACCTACAGTCCCTATCTTGTACGTAACCCGGGGACTGCCTGTATTTAAAAAAAGTCTTCTTGTTTCCCTTTATTCCTGTAGCTAGTTTGAGCTCATTTTGTGCCTTTGCCTTTCTAATCTTTCCCTTGCATTCTTGTGTTGTTTGCCTATATTCATCCTTTGTAATCCTAGTTTCCATTTTTTATATGACTCCTTTTTTATTTTTAGATCATGTAAGATCTCGTGGCTAAGCCAAGGCGGTCTTTTGCCATATTTTCTATCTTTCTGACGCAGTGGAATAGCTTGTTTTTGGGCCCTTAATAATGTCCCTTTGAAAAACTGCCAGCTCTCGTAGGTTTTTTTCCCCTCAGTCTTGATTCCCATGGGACCTTACCTATCAGCTCTCTGAGCTTACCAAAATCTGCCTTTCTGAAATCCATTGTCTCTATTTTGCTCTTCTCCCTTCTACCCTTCCTTAGAATTGTGAACTCTATGAGTTCATGATCATTTTCAACCAAGCTGCCTTCCACTTTCAAATTCTTAACCAGTTCCTTCCTATTTTTTATAATCAACTCTAGAACAGCTTCCCCCTGGTAGCTTTTTCAACCTTTTGAAATAAAATCTTGGGCTTTGGATGATTTTGTTAGTTGTTTAAAAAAAGCCTCATCCACCTCTTCCACCTGGGTAGGTGGCCTGTAGTAGACTCCTACCATGACATCACCTTTGTTTTTTACCCCTTTTAGCCTAACCCAGAGACTCTCAACACTTCCGTCTCCTATGTCCATCTCCACCTCAGTCCAAGTGTATTCATTTTTAATGTATAAGGCAACACCTCCTCCCTTTTTCCTTGTCTATCCTTCCTGAGCAAGCTGTACCCTTCTATACAAACATTCGAATCATGTATTATCCCACTAAGTTTTTGTGATGCTAACAGTGTCATAATTGTACTTATTTATTAGCATTTCCAGTTCTTCCTGCTTATTACCCATACTTCTCGCATTTGTAGATAGGCATCTAAGATACTGATTTGACCTTGCCTCCCAGTTTTGCCCTTCTCTCCTTTCTCTCTGCCATTATAGCCTAGATAACACTTCATGCATGGTATATTTCATTATTTCCTTGTAAACTAAATTATTAATTATATTAATTATTAGTAGTATTTATTTCAGTAGTGCCTACTGGCTTCTATTAGGACTTTGATGTCATCGTACTAAGTGCTGTGCACACACAACACATAAAGAGACAATAAGCACTTTGTCATGGAAACTAGCTTAGTAACTCATATACCTACACTGCATTGTACACCTGGTTCTGTGTGATCCAGATTTGTGTACTATGTGTTGTCAGGTCTCAGCAGACATCATTGTGCATAGGGCCAGGGTTAAATATCCACTCAATGTGCAACAGTAGTCAAAAAAGCAAACAGAATGTTAAGAATAATTTTTAAAAGGAATAGAAAATAAGACAAAGACTATCTTATTGCCTCTGTATAAATCCATGGTATGCCCTCATCTTGAATACTGCATGCAGATGTGGTCACCTTATCTCAAAAAAATATATCTTGGCTCTGGAAAAAGTTCAGAAAGGGCAATAAAAATTATTAGTGATATGGAATGGTTGCCATATGAGGAAACTGGGCCTTTTCAGCTTGGAAAAGAGGAGATGAAAGGGGGATGTGATAGAGGTCTATAAAATCATGACTGGTATGGAGAAGGTAAATAAGGAAAAGTTATTTCTTCTTCGAGTGCTTGCTCATGTCCATTTCACTTGTGCGTGCGTGCCATGTTCATGGATTGTCGGAGAGTTTTCCTTTAGCGGTACCTGTCGGGCCAGCCCCCTGAAGTGGCGCCACTATATCTATGCATATATACCCCCACTGGCCCTCCGCCGCCTCAGTTCCTTCTTACCGCCCATGACAGTTGTTGGAGCTCCCTTCTCGATTGTTTGCAAGCGTGGTCCCAGCAGTATCTGTAAGTCTTTTAGAGTAGTTAGCTCCTAGTTAAATCCCTTTGTTCTTTCCAAGTTGCTTTCCCTGTCAAGTACCTGTTTAGATAGAAGCTTCAGGGGGTAGCCCAGTTAGTCTGTACAGGATAAACTTAAAAAACAACCAATGGTCTCGTAGCACTTTAGAGACTAACAAAACATGTAGATGGGATCATGAGCTTTTGTGGGCACAGCCCACTTCTTTCTGTGCACACGAAAGCTCATCACCTAATAAACTATCTTGTTAGTCTTTAAAGTGCTATATAGTTTTTCCTTTTGTTTTACCAAGATCAGACTAACACAGCTACCTCTTATTACTAAGCTACATGTTTTCTTAGTCCATAAAGTGCTACCAGACCATTTGTTGTTTAGATAGCGTTAGATAAGTTGTTTGGGTTGGGGCTTGCCTGTTGCATCCCCTTCCATTCCAGTCCACGGGGCATGCTAGGGCCTCATGGCTTTAATCCTTGTGTGGACTGTTCTAAGCCTATGCCCTGTGGCAACCCACATGATTTGTGTCTGGTGTTGCAAGGGCCCCTCTTCCCCAAGCCATCACTGGGTAGGTCT